CATGCTTGGGGAGTCTAATCACAGACACTCTTGTCATATCAAGCAGAAAAAAAGTCCACTTCACAGCGAGCTGCGTTTCAACAAAAAAGAGAAAAAGATGGAGGGAAGGGTAAACAAGCCCGACGTTCCTCAGCCACCGCAGAATTCATCATTCATAGAAAAAAAATAAAAAATACCTCAAGCCCCAAAAAGAAGAGCTAATTTAATCCGAGAGGAATAAAACTCCATTTCATAGGAGTCGTTCATTCAGAACACTCATATTTCCACTGAGGAGAAACCCCCGGCTGAAACTCGAGCAGACACTTTTCGGAAGGAATGTATTCGGTGGGTTGAGGGCCAAAGCTTGCCCTGTAATTTGTGAATGTACAGAAATGTGTGAGTGCCACAGCTCCTCTAAAGATAGAAATCTTTGTCTTATGTCATCGCCGAACCTCAAACTATTTCTAATTGCCCCCCTCTCCCTACCTCTGGTCCCCTTTTTTTCTTTCCAAATGAATAACTACCCATCCAAAAGGCTCATGTGTGCCACGTCTGAACTGAAAATAGCCTGGGAGTTTACACAAGCTAATAGATCAAATTCAGAAAAAAAAAAAAAAAACAAGAAACTTTAAAAGTAGCTTCATGTATCTGAGGCTGTCCCCATCTTCAAAGTGACTTTTAAGTGGCGCTGAAAGCTGTGTGGGTGGCATTTAGAGGCAGGTATACATTGCAGACCCCAAAGGCTTTCACTGGTTTTTCTGCTAACGGTGATCACAGTCATATTAGTCCTCACAATCTGACTCATTAAACATGAAAGCTTAAAGTATATTTGGTTTCCTTAAGCTTTAAAACAGATAGAGCTTCTGTGCAAGAACTCTCAGATTGTTTTTTACTTATAATTGCTACAAAAGACTTTTTTTGTCCTACCTTGTAAGCAGTTTTGTATTTTTCTGTTGCTGCAGGCATTTTTTTGTGTTTTTTTTGTTTAGCTAGACAATTCAGATGCAGAAAACATCTTAGTCACAAGTTTTCACACAGAAACCACCACTCATGAATGATGTGATGCTCTCATGGTTTGCAACTGTAGGATCTGTTTTCCTTTTTATTCTTTTAATGGTAAGAAACCTATATGCCGAGGCCTATTTTCTGAGGTGGGTCCGGGGGTTTCACATGTCCTCCAGGAGATCTTGTCTTGATTTCAGGTTCAGCCCACTCGGATCATTAAAAATCGTTCAGGGGCACGGCGGGCTCCGTCTTCAATGCCTGTGCGGCTGAAACCGTAGAAACTGCGTGCTGAAATGTGGAGGTCTAAATGTGACAGGCGCCCCGAGCGCACATTGCAGCTGAGTGGGGTGAAGCTGGAGCATGCGGTCACATATTAATAATGAACTAGGGCAGGAGGACGACTAAAATATCACGAGCATTGTCCCTGTCCCAGTTGAGCTGTACTTGAAATAGATGCATGATAGGTGATATGATTGGACATGATGCTGTCCTTCTTTTTTTAAGATTGCAGAAGGGTTGCAGATTTGGTCACTTGATGCAGGGACCCCTCCAGAGAGTTCTACAAGGGGTCGCTAGAGGTTAAACTCACCAAAACTATTTATTTAGGCATGTTTGCAAGGGTTGGAACTGCAATTTAGGTATGAAATAATAAATATGCATACCTAATGATGTGGGAGTTTGTGTTTGATATGTTGCAATTTACCAAAGGATGTCCTTTTTTTCTGGTGAAATTGTCTATAAAATGTGAAATTCTTACCATAATGTTTGGGCTGAGGGCACAGAAGTAAATATAATGGAGAAGACATTGCCCCTGGAACATTTTAATTTTACTGTGGTATTACCATGTTTCTATTCAATCTGGAAAGTATTGCTTGTAGTATTTTGCATTGTTTTTAAAATCCCTGTTTTCTTACCCATTGAGCCTCCATGACACCAGAGAAGGACCAGGGGGACAATGGCCATCCTCCAGTGACCGCAGAGTTTTCCACAAAATAATCTCTATTAATCAGCATATATGATAGTAAGGCAACGTGGTCCTGCTGTTCATTTTGAAGCTTTTTCATTCGATACTCAGCTTTATCAGGTGAAATACCAATTTGTAAATTTCAGCTGCTCAGATGCAATTATAAAAAAAACATAAAGCAAATTATAATTGATCATAATGCAGTAAAAATAAATTAATTTTTTCAAAAGAAGTTACATTTCAAAAATGTAATTTGTTTTGCAAAATTGACTTTCAAGCAATAAAACAGCCACATATGACATGTTAACCATTAAAAAAAGGAAAGTGTTTCTAAGCATCTGGGTCAAAATTAAAGCACAAACTGTTGATGCTATGGTTTTAAATTTTCGTCAAAACGCTTAACACTATATAAAAAAAACAAAAAAACAAAAAAACAACTCAACTCAACCCTTAATTATTTAAATATATGAAATTATTTTTGTCATGAAAAGCTAAAAATGTTTTTGTTTTTGATTTGAATTTAGGGCCACATCTAAGTTTAAAAATGGGTCAACATCTTTCTAGAGGGCACAGCATCAGCTAGGAAGTTTCAGGTATTTTACTTTTCATGAGTAATTAAGTAGTAGTTATTAGATGTTAAAAGTTGTATATATATATATATATATATATATATATATATATATATATATATATATATATAATTTCAGATTTTTCCCCTCCTCCAGTAAATTGCATCCCTGATGGGACTAACGGGGGGAAATAAAGGTTTTTTTTTAAAGCCACTTTTGGCTTCTCTTCTTCCTGCTTACATGCACTTGATTTATTCCATCCTTCCTTTCCTGCAAGATGTCAACTTAAAAGAAACCGCGCGCGCACATACCGCGACTTATATTAATTGATTCTCAGCATTTCTGATGCTTCAAAACTTGTTCAGAAAATTCCTCGCTTTCCCTGATTTATGTAAAAAAAAAAAAAAAAAAGCCTGAAATTTGAAATCCTTCATTAAAAACAAACTTTCGGAGGATTAAAAATAAATACATACATAATTGTATTCCTATTAATTTCACAGGGAATACTCATTAAAATCTAAAAATAACTGTTGATTAAAAGACTCCAAAACGTAAAGAGATGTGGAAATTATTTAGAAATGTTGTTCCGTTTAAAGCAGAAATGGTTTTATTCATTTCACGCTATTTTAAAAACTGTAATGACACTTTCAAATTTAACCAAACGCAATAAATCAAGTCTGATCTAATGAATTGATGGAAATGGGTTTTTTTTATGGCATAAAAAATTATTAAAGGATTATTTAACAGTCTGGTTTTATTCTAAATTATTACAGATTCCCGACTGTCTAACACAGATAAAGGTTCCTCTCTCTCTGTAGCTGTAAGTGTGAAATATGTGACTCGGACTCGTCGAGCAGACGGTGATAGAAAAGACAAAAGCGCCAACTAGTGTCAGAAGTGCGCATTGCTCACAGGCTGCTGCAGGGTGCGCCTTCATTTCTTGTCACTTTTAATGAATTGCGCCCCAGGCGCGCAGACGCACGCAATTATAAATGAGTTGTGTGTTTGATGTGGAGGTAATTAGGAGACTATTACCCGATTTGTTTTAATTTTCAACCTTTAATTAGGATAAGGTTATTAAGGAGATAAGAATCTGTCCTGAGCTCCTAAACTTTCCTTTATAAAAGATGGTATTTAATTGGAAAAGGCGTGGATCCGCCAGACATGGCCGATGGCTTTTCAAAAATGACTCAGTGAAATTAAAAACCGCAAGACTGTGAGAATATTTGAACAGCAAAACTGATAATAAATAAATAAAAACAAATAAATCAATGTAATAAGACCAGATACATGAACGCGCAAAGAATGAAGCTTAGGATAAATTATAAAATATAAGATTATCAGCTGTTGCACTGTATATGCTTTATTTATAACTCTGAGGTTTTAATCTAAATCTGGGATCAATTCAACACTATACATATTTCATCAAATATCATGTAAAGCAGATGTATCTTACTGATTTACATTCACAGCTGTGTGAGCAGTAACCATAATAAATTATATTTTAAAAAGATGTATAAATATATAAAGGAGAGCAGAGATATGTATCAATAAATGAAGGATAATGTGTGACAGCGGGGCAGATCCGCAGAAGCAGCGGCGCAGTTGGATTGGTGCGCAAAAGCCCAACCCAGCGCCCTGATTGGCTGAACCCAGCCACCAAACGCTAAAATGAGTTGTGTAAAAGTAATATCGCGGCACTCTGCAGTCTGCTCAGCCTCACGGCTCCTTCTTTACGTCCCACAAAGGATAACTTTGGAAGGAAATCCACTTGGAGCGACGAGGAACCGTTCCTTTTTCCCTTCCTCAGAATTACCTTGAACCAAGCGGGGAAAAAAACTTTTACGCACGAAAAAAAAAAAGGACTTCAACTGCAGCTTGATTCTTTGTAAACGTCCGGGACATTCGAGTAGATTTTTCTTTTTATTCTTTTTTCTCGGCAGTGTTAGTTTTATTTGAAATAATTTAAAAGTCGCGACAAGCTGGACTGGAACTTTTTATCCGATCGTGGCTGGATTATCTTTTTTGTGGTTCTAAAATATTTAGAGTGATTTTTTCCCCTCAGTTTGGTGTTTCAGCTAGGAGTTTAAACAGTCTGTGGTGCTGATGAATTGTTTACAAGCGGCTGAAAGTATTCAAGTGTGCGGTAGATCAGAGCGCAGATAGAAAATCCAACCCGCAGAGTTTGGAGAGCCTCGGTTTGTTGTTAGATAAATATACAACACGGATGCTCTGCAGAATGAGACTTTAGGAATTAACTATTTAACGTCAAACTAAACAGAGTTTGAAGGTGTTTTTTTTTTTTTTTTATTCGATCAGCGGATCTTTTTTTGCGCTGTTCTTTCACATCCATCCTTTGAGACCAGCAGCGTCTGGAAGAGAGAGACAAGAAGAAAAAAAAACTGTTTCTCCTCCCAAAAGTTTCTGATACAACCCCAGTCAGGTGGCTCTGACCCAAGCTGTTGTGATGCATATTCCCGTAGAGCCGCCCACCACTAGACGGTTCACACCGCCCTCCACGTCCTTCCCCTGCAGTAAGATCGGTGACGGCAACGGGCCCATGGCCACCCCGGGGCCCCTGCGGACGCGGCCAGACAACAGGAACGTGGTGGACGTCTTGGCAGACCACGCCGGGGAGCTGGTGCGCACTGACAGCCCCAACTTCCTCTGCTCCGTGCTGCCGTCTCACTGGCGGTGCAACAAGACGCTCCCCGTGGCTTTTAAGGCAAGACTGATGCTTCTTATTATTTCTCATTTAATCAGACACAAAGTGATTTCCCAACAGCTTTCAAATAACCAAGGATTTTATTTCTTTTATAAAATGGTCTAGAGATTCACTTTCTGAATTAAAGCAAAAAAAGTTAGATTATTAAAACGCAGCTCTAAATATAATTTTAAGCTGGGATTGACTATTGCGCATTGTAAGACAACATTTGATTATGCATATTTTTTTTATACATTTTGCATATTTTATCCATATTTTTTTAATATCCAAATGCGAATATAGAGAGATAGAATGTGCACCATGCAAATCTACATGTTTACATTAACATTTAACTAAATGTCAGCAGTAAACGAATAGCCTGCTGTAGGAAATCTCTTGCATGCAAATTTAGATACTCATTACATTGCTGGAAATTGTGGTTAAAATAGTCCATTCCGTTTTGGAGCTAATATGAGGAGAGTTTGAGTCTGTTTTTAGGCACTCTCCTTAAAGTTTGGGTTTTATTTTTTATTTATTTATTTTTTTTTTTTTGTGACCCGGGGTGGCCGCCTGCTCTCCTCTCCCGCGCTTCAGGTCGTTGCGCTCGGAGACGTTCCCGACGGGACGCTGGTAACCGTCATGGCCGGGAACGATGAGAATTATTCGGCTGAGCTTCGAAACGCCTCCGCGGTGATGAAGAACCAGGTAGCCCGCTTCAACGACCTCCGCTTCGTGGGCAGGAGCGGACGAGGTGAGAAAAAAAACCTCTGAAACCCTATTTCTCTCCTTTTCACACACATACATGACGCACGCGCGCACACAGAAATAAAGGGGCCTGCTGACAAACATGATGAGAAAGCTTCTGCTCATTTATTTATAAATAGAATAATGATCATATATGTCTGTTGAAGTGAACTCCCTCCTGCAGAATATGAAAAATATCTTTTTTATTTCTAAAAAAACGAATCAGTTCATTTTTAAGAAAGCTTCTGCTCTAAATCTGACTCTGGTGTCTATTCTTATCACCAGAACCATCGTGGCCTGATGCGCAAATGCAACTTCTTAGAATAATGTTCAAAAATTCAACGGGTTACAAATAATTATCCACACTTAAGGTGGAAAGGGATGCATAATCAAGCAACCCAACAACCCATTTTTGTCTTCAGCTGACGCACCTTAAAAATTGTATGTCTTTATCGTCATTGTTGGGTTTAATTTCTATGCAGAAATTCACACATCAGAGGGCCTTATTGCAGGATGTTGCGGTTAAAGCGCAGGCCTGCTGACTGCACTTTTTTATACCCTATCAAGCAAATCAAAACCTCTCAATGTTAAGGCATAAACAAGCAATTGTCTTTAAAAAAAAAATAGAAATAAAAAGCTTGAATGTCACCAAGTGAAAGAGGAATTTCTTTAATTATCAACGCGCTTTTTACTTGCCCCTCATCAAATGTCAAATATCACGTGATCGGATGCATATGTGAATAACTTGCGACTAAAATCCAACAATGGAGATAAAAACAGTAGATCACATGTTTTATTTTTACAATAAAGGGATTTTGCTGTCCTCCCACACACCCTTTTTTTAAGATAACAGCCACACACACACTCATCATAGTGGTGCATTGCCTTTTCCCTTTGTTTGGCACAAATTCTCTCATTCTATGAATAACTGAATAAAGCAACTTATATTTATACATGTATATATATATATATATATATATATATATATATATATATATATATATATATATATATATATATATATATATATATATATATATATATATATATATATAGTGTGTGAGGATTGTCTGGTGTGGGAGGGGGGTTGCAGAGGTGTTCCCCATGGACCCCCTCAGTTAGCTGGGTTTTGCAGTGTTTTACAATAAACTGTTGCTGTAAGTTCTTTGTGAAAAATCTAGCAGACATTCTGTCTGTTTCTTTTATGTATTTAGTCAAAGCAACAAAAGGAACATATTTGAAAGCATAAGAGAAGAATATAGTCAGTAATTTGTGGATTTAATCTGGCTATGTTTATTTATAAAGCAATTCCTTAAAACTGTAATGTAATCTTACTTTGGTTTGGTTTTTGGTTGATTATAAACTTCTGGATATAAACTTTGTCTCAATTACACAGATTTAAGTTAAATTGCATATTTTCCAATTAGATTTGTCTTTTTAATATGATGCAATCTGTTTTAGGGACCAATCCTAACTAGAGTAAGGCATCTCCTATAAGCGAGGTATCAATATAAACGCTTTGTTATTTTTGCTGCAGGGAAGAGCTTCACCCTGACAATCACCGTGTTCACCGGACCGCCGCAGGTGGCCACCTATCACCGCGCCATTAAAGTCACTGTGGACGGACCCCGGGAACCCCGCAGTGAGTTTGCTCACACAGACGTCATTTCACACATCTCAAATCTGGTATACACTGTGGTGAGATGCACTGCCACTCTATCAGAGCGAGTGTGTTGGTGTCAGTATCTGCTCACCATAAGAGAAGTGCATGAGTCATGTGAAGCTGATATAAAAAAAAAACCTCCAACAAAGAACAAGGCAGGTACGTGTCCATGCGTAGGTGTACCGGTAAGTGCTGTGTAACTAGCTCTACTGCAGAAATCCAGTTTTTTTTTTTACCAGGTTTGGTTTTTGGGGTTAAGATAAAAAATGCAGTTTGGGTTAAAATTTAGGTTAGATATGAAGCCTCTAGAGGATGAAGGTAGAGCACCTTATTGTTCTAAGCAGAACAGCAGTGCAGGTGTTGGTGAGGGGTGCAGGAAAGGCCCGGTAAGAGGAAACTGCAGCACATTAAGGCGAAAACCAAAGACCACTAAGAGGAGTTGAGTGAGACTCCAAGCCACATGTGGCTCCGCTCCTCCTCGCCTTCCTCTCAACGCTGGTCAGAAGGGTCCTACCTGCCTGACCACATAAGTGGCTCGTTGATTTAACGCAGGGCCACAGCGGGCTGAAGCTGTTTGCACCCGTTCCTCATCCCCACGCAGCTGCGTTTCACATGTGAGGTAGAAGCAGGCGATATGAAGGGACAGAGGGGCTTAATGTTACTCAGATGCATCAATCACTTGAGGGCAGAACTGTGCGTGCATAAATTTGTTGCGAGGCTCAAAGATAGACAAGACAGGGCGTCTTTTTATGAAGGTATCTATGAAGGGAGTGTGTTTATTATGGCGCTAAAGGTCTTTCCGAACAAATGGATAGCTGTGGTTTGTGTGGAGGTGGATACTGGGACAGGGTGGATTTAACCCAGTCAAAACAGAGCGCAGGAGTGTCACATGAGTGGGGATATGAGCTGCATCACCCCCCCTCATCATGCTGGATGCTATTTGCAGAGGTATAAAACAGAACACTGGCTGCATAATGGACACTATGCATGCATGGTTTCAATTTCTGCTGTTTAATAGAAAGAGAGAAGTTCTCTGAAGACGTGTGTGTCGGTGCATAAATGCATTCTGATGAGCAGACCCCAGTTTGAAATAACTGTGTGCATTAAAGTTGTCTCCCGTCTGTCTGTCGACACTTTCCGGCTCCGGCTCCATGCTACTTTTACTCTGGCACTTGGTGCTATAAAGTGACAGTTTAATATAGGCAAGGAGGAATTTAAGGCTCTAATAAAAAACACTTTTACACTGAGCTAAATTCACAGAAGGAGCAAAAATAGACTTCTGTTAAAGCTGATTTAGATAAATATAATTTTCATATTTACAAAGTAGGACTTTATGAGTTCAACCATCTGATATCAGAGGAAAAGGGAAAACAGCAATGGAAACATCTAATCACCCCGCAGCATCACCAAAGCAATTTAAACTGCCGACAAAACAAGCAAAAGCTGCATATTTATTTTGTTCATTATGCTGGACAGAACCAGCTTTCAGATCCGGGCCTAAGATGGTATTTCACCGCATTGGAAAATTTGTAGCCCAGGAATAAAAGTTGCACGAGATGATATAAAGGAGCTCACATATTGAAACAAGGAAAACATTCTCAGCGTCATGTCGAAGCAGAGTTGAAGAAAACACTCCTTTCAGAAGTTATTGGCATCATAAGAATAATCAGATTCCTCTCTTGCCACACGAAAGAGTCTTTTATCACCGCTATTGAACAAAATAGACAGACGCTATAAAACTATCAGCATTTTCTCATTATCTTATTATGAATCACATCCTTTTGGGGACAGTTATATTCTACCCAACTGCTTTTATCTGCTTATGGTTTATAATGCCACACAAAGAGCTCTGTAGAAAGACTAAAGCTTCTCCACAGGCAGCATGGCTGTCCTGCTCATGGCTTCACGAGGCAGTTTGTGCAGGGGCCCTCAGCATTTGCATGACTTCCAGGCGAGCCGTGGCAGCAGGGCTGGCAGCGAGGGGGGAGGATGTTTTAATTCATGTTTACCGATCCAGTCAGGAGAACCTGATGGACAAGAATGAAACGGTGGCTCGCCTTGGGCAATGACTTAAAGAATGCCATGCCTTCTGAGAACACCTGAGCAGCAAGGTAGAAACACACACCGGGTGCAGTTGAGTTCACTAATGTAGCTCCGTAAGACCACAAACACACTGATGCAAAAACACAAAGATAAGTTCTGCTCCTGAACAGAAAGTATGCTTTTCTAAGTATTTTTGTCCCTTTTTTTTCTGCTGCTGATTTCCTCATCACACATCCGGCATTCGTCATTTTAACAGCACCTCCCACCAAACGCACACGCATATACACCCCCCCCCCCCATACACACACACAACCTCCTCCAGCTCTATCTGTCACACTTTATTATCTACCGTTGGCTATGCTTTAACTGGAAACAGAGCTTATAATTGCCGATGACAACAGCAAGGGAGGCCGTGCAGAAAGCAAACATGAGAGAAGAAAAAAAACCCAAAAAATAAAGTTATAAATAAATAAAAGAGTTCCTGTTGTAATGCTGATTCCAGGAGTTATTTTAACTCCTAAAGCTTTTTTTTCTCACACCTCCGCCTAAACATAACATCATTATTCATCTATTTACCAACCGATTAGGCTTAAGAGACACTCACCTTATGTGAGGCTCAGGGTACAAAGAAATATATATAAGGAGGTATTCTAAACATGCAAGAGGATATTTAGAAATCCTCTTCATAGCTTGTAGGAATGGGTCGAGGTTCTAAAGTCTAGAAAATACCAGTCAAGGGAAAATACTTAAACATGTGTCTAAAAGTGGTTTTAAAATCCCAGTAAAAAAAAATGTATTTGCAAAACTTCCCTCTTATGGGATTCTGCTTGATCCTAAGTTTATAGTTAATGTATTACGCTGCAAAAACAATGTAGAAATAAGTCAACATTTCTTAAATTAAGTGTATTTACCCTCAATTTGAGTAGGTAAATAAGATGATTTGCCGATGGAATGAGATTTTTTTTACTCTGGAAATAAGATAATTAGATAATATGCACTTAAAACAAGACAACGTTTTGTTTTAAGTGCATATTTTTTTTTTTTTTTTTTTTTTTTTCAACTGTAAGTTATCATGCTCCATTGGTAAAGTGTCTCACTTACCTCCCCAATTCAAGAGAAAATGCGCTTATTCTAAGTAAAAAAAACTTTTTTAGATTTCAAATTTTTGCAGTGTGAGAATGCAAAATGCTTATTTCTTAAAAAATCTGTATTTTATTTATACACATACACACACACACACACACACACACATACACATATATATATATATATATATATATATATATATATATATATATATATATATATATATATATATGTGTGTGTGTGTGTATGTTTCATGTTCCTTAGGTAAATAAACAGGCAGGAGGCTCTCCTCCGTCTATGGTTGCTATGGTGATGTTTACTCACATCTACAGCCTCCTAAAAATGTTTTTATACACTAGTAAACTAAAACACTAGTATATTTATTAGTAAAGATCTGCACATTGTTTGTGTCTGTTATTTGCATGCCTCAAAGTGATTTCCCCAAATGAGCACGTTTTTATCTTTTTATTTTTAAATTTGTGGATTGTTTAAATAACGCTCATTCAATGAGTGACTTTATAAGTATCGTGGAAAGCGATTGCCACAGCTTGAAGAGCGGTCTCGCTTTTTTATTGTTAATTGTGTTATTCTACTGAGCATTGTTTTGATTTGCGTGGTTGCTACCATGGCAACATCTCTTTATAAAACTGATTTCAAATGGACTTAGAGTAGAAAATACTTATCCATGAATTATAGAAATAAAAAATATATACCTTAAATCAATTTATTTATGAATAATACCAAAAAAATTACATATTATCGTAAGTTGCCTTGAAAAATTGTAATGACTTGCATATCATGTACAGAAACATGTATACAGAAACAAAGAAATAAAAATAGTTTTTACAGTCAGAGCTGAAAACTGAAATTGTCTTATCAGCACCTTCTGTTTCAATTAACTGAGGGGAAGGTGGCAGTTAGTGTCTCAGAATAAAAATGATCTCTGTACTGAGTGTGCAACACCTGTTTGCACCCGGATGAAGGTGATACACCCCAAAGGGCCCCAGTCTGCAAAAAAGAAAAAAGAAATCACAAGAGCACCCTCATGTTTTTGTGCTTTTATTTGCTCGGCAGGGTGTGTTCTCTCAGCTCCAGCAGGAGAATGGCGGGCGTGGGGTAAAGATTCATAGTGGTGGTGGTGGTGTGTTGGCGGGGGGGGGAGTGAGCATGTTCAGGTTGGCGGGTTGAGTCTATTTGCATTTGGCACACAGACTGTACAAAGTATGCAAATGACCAAACAATGACATTTGCTGTGTTATTTTTCCTATGATATTGCAGTCTCTCTGCAAAGCAAACAAAAAGACAGCAAGCATGTTGATGCATTTGCGTGTGTTCCAGCTTATGCACCTGCCAGGTGCATCTCTTAGAAAGAGAAAAAAAAAAAGAAAAAAGAATCACCACCCCCTCTTAATATATGGTGCCACGCCCATGCTCCACAAATCACATGAAAGGGCTCACCCTCGGTGCGAAACGTTCTCTCAAAGGCAACTTTGATGTTTGAAAATGGAGATGGGAGTCTTTGAAAGAAAGGCCTACAGGTGTATCGGTGCCAGGGAAGGGGGGGTGGGAGGCTGAACAGCCGTGTGAGACTCTGGGTGCTTTCCTGAACATCTATAATCTACAGACCCCAAAGTCAGAAGTCTAAATAATCGAACTCATGACCATCTAATTTGGGATTCAGTCATGAGGGGAGCTGCCTTGGTGCCATTTAGCAACAGATGACAATAGAAGAACTTTAATCTGTCCTTTCAGTAGGCCGTTGCCGGGTTCTCAAACACAGGATCCCTGCAGAGAAATGTAGCACAGCCTCAATGATTAGATGCAGAGCAAATATTGGCTATATGATAAAT